ATATCTACACACACACACACACACACACGTATATTTCTTTGCTTTAGTGATATATATGAAGGTGGTTAAACTATTTTAAAAAAACAAATGATCAGCAAAAAAGCACAGATAGTAGTTATGCCTTGAAGAAGGGAGGAAAATGTAATTGAGGAGGAGCACACAGGGGCTGTTTCAGGTATTAGTATTACTCTAGTAAAGTTCTTCTAGGTGGTCACCAGTACCAGATGACACTGAGTTGCTTCTGACTCATGGCAACCCCATGATGTCAGAGTAGAACTGACATCACATCCATTACCCGTAAATGACTGTGATCTAATATCAGAAATTGTCTAAATTCATGAAGGGTTTTCAGTGGCTGATTTTTCAGAAGTAGATGGATGGCCAAGTCTTTCTTCAGAGATCCCTCTGGGTGGACTGGGACCTCCAACCTTTTGGTTACCAGCCAAGCTTGGTAACAATGTGCACCACTCCGGGGCTTCTTCCATGGGGTAGAGATTAGTATGACAGGTGTTTCATTTTTATCATTTATACTGTTCATTATTTTTATATATTCTTTGCCATATTTGATATATTTCACAAAATTAAAAACAAAATGCCAGAAGACTGTATAAGATAAAGCCTGATAGGGTTAGGGGTGAAATATTACTCACTGACCTTAGAGACTATACCTGACCCAATGCCTTGTATTTCTTTGTGGGGGATCAGGAACCACATGGAGTGGTAATTAAAGTCCATTGCTGCTTCATAGCAAGGATCAAGTGCAGAGAGGAATGTAGATAAAGCATGGGAAATTACTCACAACGGACTGTGGGTAGAAAAGGGAAGGGCAGAGGGCTGCTGGTTGAGACTTGCATGTAGCATAAACCACACTGAATGGTCTTAGCGACATTGCACATCAGTTGGAAACAGGGCTCCTAGAGGAGGATGTGTTTTTCACACCCCTGACTGGTTACGCGAGCCTTGTGTGTGAGGGTTGGGCCGCAGGGTTGCTGGCAGCAGTGTGCTAGTGTCAGCCTCCTTGCTGTCTATTCTCATAAGGACATTCTTCCTCTGTTACCTTATTCCTTCTGAGTTTTCATTTCTATTTAGGAGCTGATGTCAGAAAATATATCTCCATGATATGTTTGACACATGAGGTACTTTACAGAATAAAACCTATTAAAAGGCATCAGTACAGAGTGCATAAAGATTCAGTGTCATACAACAGATTTTCAATACTAAATTTTGCTTAGAAGTACACATTAGACAACATTACGTGGGATATGGATGAATTTAAAATAGTTGTCATAAAGCTTTGGCTGTGGAAACAGAGTACTCATACAATAATACTCTTTCTCCCTGATAGAACCTCTATGTGTTTCCATTTTTCTGAATTATGAGCCATTATGGGGCTTGGTAAACCATGTCCCATGGACCAAATATGATCCTCTGACTATTTTTGTCAATAAAGTTTTATTTGAACACGCCATGCCCTTAATTTGCATATTGTCTAGTGCTCCTTTCAAGCTACAGTGGCAGAGCTGAGCAGTGATGACAAAAAGCTATATAAGTCCAAAATGTTTACTATCTGGCTCTTAATGCAAAAAGTATACCAGTGTTGACATAGATCAATACATTTTCCACTAACACATAATTTCAAAATAATAAGATGTGTAAGTTGTATTTTCAGGAGTAAAGATAAATCATGGCAATAGTAAAGCCCTCCGCATCCAGCTTTGAATACAAGCAGGTTACATGGTAACCAAAAACTGGTATTCTCTAAGGCTTAGTGGAAAGAACTATATTGATATTACTAAATATATCATTTAAGTGGCTTAAGTAATCAGAAGTGGAAAATTGCTGGAATATTTGGTAAGATCTAGCCTCCTAGGATGACTAAGTGGGAGGCATCGAAGCTTCCAGAAAAGCAACACAATCATGAATAAAGCCATTGTGACTCTTGCCTTGTCCGCAGGTGTTAACCTGGCCCAGGGTTTGTCTGCCCGGCGGTCATAGTCCGGGGAATCGGTGACTTCTACATACTCGTTAAACCGCAGGATCCTTCGCGCTTGTAGCTCTGCCACAGTGGGTCTTAGGCTGAGCTGCAGGAGGACAGGGAGAAAAGGAAGAGTTCAGCAAAACAGTTATAGCCCCAGTGTGGCAAGTTTCTGTAGAGAACACTTCAAAGTTATGGTTAAATAAGGTCACTTTCAGGTAACAAAAAAAAAAAAAAAAAGAAGGCAGCGGTGTCTAGGGACTTTCTAATGAGAACTAGAAAGCAGAGTGCCCTAATTTTTGCAACTATAAAAATCATCATTGCTAGATAGGTCATATCTTTGGCAACCATCTGCATCACGTGATTTTCGCACCTTGCCCTGCACTGTGACAAAGGCCTGCCTGTCATCCCCAGCACAGGGAGCACATGGTGGCACAGGCACATCATAATCCAGGTACAGGATGCTTGTTTAAAGACGGAGTTATCAAGACTAAAGCCCTGACAATTTCAGAGATGAGAATCAAATTTCTGCTCCTATTATATCAAACCTATGCATTCAGAGACGCCCAGAGTTATGGCAAAGAAAAGGAGCCTGGTGGCAGGACGGTTATGTGTTTGGCTGCTAATCAAAAGGTAGGCAGTTCAAACCTGCCCAATGGCACCATGGGAGAAAGACCTGGCAATCTGCCCATAAAGATTATAGCCTAGAAAACTCTATGGGGCAGTTCTTCTGTACCACAGGGGTTACTATGAGTTGAAATTGAGTAGACAACACCACCGCAAAGAAATAGTCCACAGCTTTCCTTCTGAGAATAAAGACCCAGGCCCCGATCTGACCCTGCTCCTTGACCAGAAGAGTTGATCTGCAGGCACCAGGAAGGGAAGGCTGCTAGAGGACTTTTCCACGGCCAGGATGGAGAGCTGCAGTTGAGTGGGACCACAACTGTGTAAAGTCAGCTGCAAACTGTAAGACACTTCTAATAACTTGAGTTCCTTCCTGTGGTCTTCAGCAAATTCAAATGTATAATAATTAATCTACCCAGCCCTTTGTGTATTTGCTTTCTTCTGTTTGTCCCTGTTCAAGCCCAAGAATAAAACAGAAATGGTACTGAGAGACTAAAGAAACCTGGCTTCCAGGTTGACAGGTGCTACCCACCCTGCTACTGAGGTTCACAATTTTGTGAAATTTCTCAGTTGGGAGATGATGTCACAGAATTTTCAGACAGGTAGACCCGGGCCACTGTTTCAATTACAGCTTCCATTTCTGTATCTTTTCTCCCTTTTATGTGCTATATATAGCCAGACAACCCACAGTCTAAGCAGTCCTCTTTGGAACTATTCCCTATTTGCACAGTCTCAAGGTTGATACACTAGACTACATGTACTCCCTAATCAACAGCACCCTGGGCCTCAGTTTCCTCCTAAGCAAAAGTAGTGGCTGGATTAAATAAATGCTCTAATAATCAAAGCATTCACGGACCCTTTGGAAGTCTGAGCTCATACTCTGAACCCACACCCTGAGCTGAGACATGGCAACTGCAGCCCCTTCCATCCTCATCAAGCCCTGGCAGGCCAGGGGCAAAGGAGCCTCATCTAGGTTTTTTCTGTCATGTTCTTAGCTGCTGTTAGCTGACAACGGCCTTTCTGGGTCTGGTAAGGATAAAGAAGTAGAGGAATGTTTAGCTAGGGACTGGCTAAAAAACAAGGAAGTGGTGAATGCCCACGTGAGAAATTCTCCATCCAGTCTTCTGTTTTTGAAAGAATGAGAAAGCCTGGTGTCAGTCCCTTTTTTGAAATACTGATTTTTCTATTGTAATAATTTGGGTATAAGTTTACAGAGCAAATTTGTTTTCCATTCAACAGTTCACACACATTTTGTTTCATGACATTGACAGACATCCTGACAATGCAACAGCTCTCTTCCCACTTCCTCCCTGTGGGTTACGTTTCCCCTGTGTCCTTCTTTCCTATGCATCCCTGTCCTCTGCACTCTCTTCCTGTGCAAATGCCTCCCTTTTGATCTCCCATAGTAGACCATTCTGAGGAGTGTCCATCCAGTCTTACCCCCGGGAACTGTGCCGGTCATAGTACAGCCATCACTGTTCACAAGCTGCCCTGCATCTATGACAGAGAGCTGTGTGTGGCACAGATAAAAGGGCCAGAGGGTAAGAACAGGGGCTGCTGCCTCACCAACACTCAGGTTTCATTGCAGGGGCCTGCCTAGATTACATAAACTCTATATGGCAGGGGTGAGCCTAGAGCAATTAGAAGGGGATATTGCTTGTCTGCAGTGGTTAACTTAAGGGCCACTGAGTGCTATAAAGAGCCACCCCTTGGAAATTCAGTTCATATAGTCTTTACCTTGATCATTATTTGACTTTTAGGGGTTCTAAGAAAAAAGAAAATAAGTATCTTTTCACCTGAAAACAAACAAACAAATAAAAACTCTCAACATGCAGTACTAACAACATTCCCATGGGAATGTAGTGTTTCCCACACCAGTCTTAGAATGATTTGCTACGGACTCCCCAGCCAGCCCACATAAATGTGGGTCAGGTCACATACATTGCTACAGAAGCCATATTTAGTCACTCTGCCCTTTTCCAAATGTGGAAGGCAATAGGCACATCTGAAGAATTACCAAACAATGATTTATAATGAGATATAAACTCTGATAGTGCTTAATTTTTTGAAACTAATATTTTAACATTTCTTAAAAAAAGTGATGACAATGGAATCTTTTGTATATTTTCATTAATGAGAAGAAACCATTTTCTGAGCTTTGGAGTGTTATGAATTGACAAATATGTGTTATAAATGCTAGTTTCTATGCCTGTGGTTATAATCTCATTGGAAATGGGTTGTCTTTGTTATGTTAATGAGGCAGGCTTAGTGTAAGGTGTGGCTTGAGTCAATAAATTTTGAGATATAAAAGAGATTAAACAAGTAAGTCAGAGAAGCAGCGATGGGGGGAGAGAGATGCCAAGCCACATGCAGGTCACCCTGGAGCAGAAGCCGAAAGAGACAAGGACTTTTCTCTAGAGCAGGCAGAGGAAGAAAGTCTTCCCCTAGAGCCAGCACCCTGAATTCATACTCCTAGCCTCCTAAACTGTGAGAAAATGCACTTGTTTGTTGAAGCCATTCATTTGTGGTATTTCTGTTATAGCAGCACTAGAGAACTAGAACAGAATTTGGTACCTGGAGTGGGGTGCTGCTCTAACAAATACCTACAATGTGTAAGTGGTTTTGGAATTGAGTAACAGGTAGAAGCTGGAAGACCTTTAAGATGCCTAAAAGTAAAAGTCTAGGTTGCCTTGGAGAGATTGTTGGTAGAATTATAGATGTCAAAGGCAGTTCTAGTGAGAGCTCAGGAGAAAGTGAGAAGAGCAATAGAGAAAATGTTTATCATCTTAGAGCATACATATGGTGCCTGCAACAGAATGTTGCCAGAAATGTGGATGTTAAATGTGCCTCTGGTGAGGCTTTAAAGAAAATGATGAATATGTGATTGGACAATGTATGAAGGGTGATGTCTTTTATGAAGAGACAAAGAACTTGTCTGAATTATGTTCAAATGTTTGGTGGAAGGTAGAACTTGTGGGTGAAGAACTTGAGTATCTGCCTGAGGAGATTTCTCAGAAAGATCTTAAAGGGGTCACATGGTTTCTCCTTGCCACTTACAGTAAAATGGGAGAAGAAAGAGATGGACTTAGAAATGACCTGTGCAAAATGAAAACAGAACTTAAAGATTTGGAAAATTCTGTTGTACAAACTAAGGACATGTGTCCTAGATTTTTCACCAAGGATGTGGCTACACAATCTTTTGTTAAAAGAGAATAAGCCTGTGACTGATGGATCAAACCAACTACCACTGCAGAAAACCATCAACCTAGACTGAAGGGATGAAAGAATGAAAGGAGAGAACACTGTCTGCCTCTCGGAATTCCATAAGCAGGAAATAGGCCAAAGAAGTTACATCTGTTGTCCTCCAAGAAAAGAGAAGGGCCATCCCTGGAGCAGCTCAGAGACGAGCAGAACTGTTGGAAGGAGCATGGGAAGCAGAGCCCTACTGGTTTCAAAGGGTGAGGCCACAGCCTCCAAGGTTTCAAAGAGTCAGATCTTCACCAACTTGGTTCTGGAGGATGGAGACGCAGTTAAGGTATGCCAGAGGATGGGGCTATTGCCCAGAGATGATGATTGCTATGTCCAAGGGGCAGAAGAAAAGTGCCTACTGAGGCCCAGGGAGGTGGGGTTGCCACTCAGATGGAATAGGAGAATGAAGCTTTCCAAAGTTGAGGGAGCAGAGTTGCTGTCCTCGTGGGCCTGAAGGGCAGAGCTGAAGCCCAGGGCTGAGAGGCCTCCACCAAGAATCCAGAAGGAATGACCAACACCCAGAGTCTGGAGGGCAGGGCCAAAGTCTATATGGTCCCAAAGAACAGATGATTATTTTCAAACCTTGAGAGGAGGGCTTTGATCTGATTCGAAACGGTTCAGTCATGGCTAACGCAGCAAAATCAGAACAGACCTGAATTTATACAATGAATGAATATCAGAACAATAACTTGAGCCTGGAGCACTATTTCTGACTGTGTCACTCAAGAGATTTGGTGGCTATATTTTCTAGAAGGGAGACTAATGTCTAGCAGGAGGTTGATCCACAATTTTTCCTGTTTCAGTTATCGTTCCAGCACACCCACATCGTACAGGTCCATTTTGGTTCTGTTTTGTCAGTCATGACTGAACTGGGAAGAACCTGCTTGAGATCTAATGTACATTATTCTGCTTGGTGCCTGCTATCCCTTCTTTCCCTCCAGTGTCTCCCATTTGTAATGAAAATGTCTACCTTGTGATGGTTCCAACTATTTACTTTGGCCACACATAACTGCTAGTCCAGATTTGAAAAGCTGAAGAAGAATTTTACCCCAGGATGGTATATGCCTAAAGTCTCAGCCATATTTGGTTTAGATGACTTAGAAGATAATATTTTGAAATTGGACTTGAATGAACACAT